GCAGTTTTTTTCGTTCATGCTCGCCCCCCAGTGGTCCAGCAAGAAACCGGATTTCGATACCCGTGGTGGGCAGAGCACAGATAGCCCATCGTGTAGCTTTGTGCTTAATTACAAACAAACAAATCGTTCATGCTCCTATTTTCGAATTATTTCTTTCGGTCAGTCGACGGAAGAAGTCTTGTTTTTTCCTTAAATCTCTTCACAAAAAAAATATTTTTGTTCTTAATAATTTTTTGTGTGCTCATATTGGCCGTTCACCATATACAAAGACTGACGGATCAGTGTTGATATCGGTATGAAATGTTAGGAATTAAAAAAAAAAATAGTCTTATAATATACTCTTGAAAAGAAGCGTTTTGATATATAATTTTTTCTACGATTGACCGTCCAGCGTGACAGACATTTGGCTATTATATTGTTACGACAGCGGAAGTCACGTGACGCTGGTAACACGTAATGTGTATCTAGAAAGATCGAGGAACCTGTCGTTTGCTAGACTCGCGCTTTTATAGTGTATAAGACCGGCGAGAAGTGACGGCATAGAGAATGGAATAGCGGAAAGAGAGATTGAAGATATAGACGGACAATTGAGTCAAGCGCGATGTGCGTGAATCGTTCGTTGAGAATAACGTGTGTTTATGTGACTGTGGAAATTAAGTGTAGTGCAAAACTGTATTGAGAAAGAATAAACTAGTTTTATTTAAGAAAGGACTTGTATCGCTGAAGTTCTTCGGAAAGAATTTTTACGAGTAATTAACTAACGACCACAGACGTAACAAATTGTTGTCAGAGAGTGGGACAAAAAAAGAAGAAGATGGAAACGAGAAACGGCAAATCAAACTACAGCTTATCAGATTTGATGGCAGCAATACCACAATAGCAAAAGAAACAAGAAGATCGAGAAAAGAAACAAGAAGAGAGATTACAGCAGTTGTTGGAGGAAAAAGAAAATAAAGAAGAAGAGAGACAACAGCAGTTGCAAGAAAACCCGCAACAGTGGCAGCTCGAACAGCAAAATAACAAAAGATTTCTTTTTCCTCCAATAACTGCTGTAATGGAAATGATACTGTTACGCCTCCAGTCGTTAATTAATTTTCCGTAACTTCGTTCCCACGAAACTTAAGCGACACAAGTCCTTTCTTAATAAAACTGGTTTATTCTTTCTGAATATAACTTTACCGAT